TTGCTTGTTTACATCACGTTTTTCTGTAAGATTCTGTTAAAACATATTGAAAAATTACCAAATTAGGTTGAAAATGACCTTTTTATGATTTTTTGAGCGTTTTAGCATGTTTTTCAATTAAAAATTTACAAAATTATTTCGTCACAAATCGCTAAATTTACTCAAAAATGGTGTTATTTTTACTTTTTTAGATTGTGCTAAAATAAATATTATTATCTCGAAAAATTTAGACAAATATACCGAAAAGTCACCAAATTAAATGAAAAATAATAAGTTTTGCTTGTTTAGATGACGTTTTTTTGAAAGATTATGTTAAAACATATTGAAAAATTACCAAATTGGGTTGAAAATGACCTTTTAATGATTTCTTGGGCGTTTTAACACGTTTTTCAATTAAAAATTTGCAAAATTATTTTGTCACAAATCGCTAAACTTACTCAAAAATGGTGTTATTTTTTTTAGATTGTGCTAAAAAAAATTCAAAAATACTATTTTCCCGTTTTAGGATGTTTTTTAGTCAGAATCGCAATTGTTTTGAAAGTTTTCGTTGAAGAATGAATAAACTATCACGAAACTAAAATTATTTTTGCTTTTTTGGAGATAGTTTAAGCATGTTTTTGAGCCGAAGGAAAAATAATCTGGTTGCTTTTCCAAACGTTTTAGCAGATTTTTCAATCGAAAGCTCAAAAGTAAGCCGAAAAATCACATAATCAATTTGAAAATGATGTTATTTTTGCTTTTTTGAAACATTTAGTTGCGTTTTTAAGTCTAAAAGAAGGTTTTTTCTTTAATTTTTGCTAATAAACATACAAAAAAATTAATACATATATCAGATTAAATAAAAAACGACATAATTTATGCTCTTTTCGAGCAATAAAAAACGCAATTATTTCGCAAAATTTTGTCAAATTTTATCGGAATTAAGTAAAAATTGTGTTATTTGTGCTCTTTTTTGACATTTATTTAACATTATTTATTTATTTAAACATATTTTACACCTTTATCCACTGTTTATTCAACAATCCAAGTTGTACAAAACGCCTTTAGCATTTGGTAATTTCATTCCTAATAGAAACCAAGTCTTAAAAGTCTTTAAAAAAAAGAATAGTGCGAAAAAAATTATTTTAAAAGAAAATACCAGTTTTCAAAAAAATGTTATATTACTTGTTTCAAAAATCAATCAAAAACTTGAGTAGTAGTAATGGCACTTTTCCCCCTCCTACTAAACTGCGCGCGCAGAGTAAGTGGTGGGGGGAAGTATCATATTTCTTACTTTTTGTGAGCAAACTGAACTAAAACCTTTCTACTTTGAATTTTTTTCTTATAAAAAAATCAATTTCTGTACTACATTATGCACGTTTAATTACAACATTAAATAAACCTAATTTAAAACCCATGTCTCTCTCTACAATCGATTAATTTGACACGCAATATCATCATTGTCACTCATCACTCCTCAACAATGCCTCCAACTATCACAATCTTCCTTCTTTTCATTACCCCAACTCTCCTCCACATCCCCCGTTTCTCCCGTGAAGAAAACCTCATCAGTCAGTCTCTCACTCAGTGTGTTTATAACGCAGTTGAACGTTTTTTCGACAAAGACAAAACGATTTTTTACTCTCTTCCTTTGAGTGAAGTGTCAAATCGGTCATCAATGGTGGTTCTGGATCGCCTACTTTTACCCCAATTGACTCAAGACTCTTTCTGGTCACTAGTGGTCAAAAATGTCTCACTACAGGAACCCAAAATTGACCACAAACCCACATTTTACATCATCCAGATGTGGAATGAGCTCGAGTTTGGTGAGAGTATCAATATTTTGCGAGGGTACCAAAACTGGAACCCTTGGGCCAAATTTTTGGTAATCACACTTACAACCTTTGAAAAACCCCGAAAAGTCGCAAGTGGGATTGTGAAAAAGTTGTGGGGGGTCCATGTGGTCAATGGAGTGGTTCTCCTGCCCGACCATGAGAACCCAACTGTCTTCAATGCCTACACGTGGTTCCCCTACAGTGATGGTAACTGTGGTACCAACTTCAGTCAAATTAAATTAATCGA